CTAACTCATTGGAAAGTACAAACAAGGGAATTAATTTGAAAAAATCTATTCAGATGGCCAACGCAGTTGAAATCAAGTGCCATGTCAATATGTGATGCAAAAACCTCTCTTCTTACATCGAATCTAATCTGCCTATAAGAACTGGGATTGTTGGTCCACCACAAACTAACACAGCTTCAGCTCCAGCCACAGCAATCACGTCTGCCCAGGACACTAATAATGGGAGAGCCTGGAATATTAGCATGGTGCTGTAGTTCCAATAATAAAAATATCTAGTTTACTGGCCATTCAAAAGACAATTACCTGGTTGTACTGCATCTACTTCAGTCTTTGCTTTGTTTAGAATCTAGATAACAATGTACCACTAGGAGTTAGCTGTTAGGAGATTCTACGAGATTTATCCAGTTTTGTATATGTATTAAGGAGTTCGGAAATCTATAGGAGGTATGGAAAAGCAAAAGCCATGCAGCATATATAGTATGTATTTACGGATAGAAAAATAGGATGCACATACATTTCAACCATACAGGAAAGCAAGAGAGAAAGTGCCCATGCCTTATAGATTTCTTCAAACCTGAATTTTCAGGTCTATCAAGTTCGTAGAGTATAGAACCATTCATACCCCCTGCAGTTACATAAGCATGTAATAAATTCACATGAACAAGGGAAACCCCATATTACTAATGAACTTAGAAGATAGGAAACCAAAAGAAAAAATTGATATTTACTTAATGAAATGAAAGAAGTTTTGAATGTCACCCAACAACCAATAAGAATATTAATCCAACTACTATCAAGCTTTCGCTGGCACAAGGAAATAAAATATCAAAATTGGAAGCAGTGGTACACTGACTATAAACTGTCTCAATGTCCTAAGAAGCAGCTATCATATGCTTTTATGCGGAGGAGTATAAAAACTAGATCCATGTTTCATTTAGAAATCAATGCCATTTAGATCTAATACCTCAATGATCATTCCACGAACAAATACCTGAATTCTCATCCATTTCAAAGGTGCCCGCATCATGAAAAACAAGCCGAAGCACACCAGCAGCCTTGCTTTTGGTCAATAGCTTCCTTACCTCTTCCTTTATCAATGAATATGTTGCTGTACCCGACCTTCAATTTCAATGGTAACAAGGCAAATTGAATATGATATAAGGCAGGCATCACAATGATAGATAACCCACAGACATTTGAACCCAATGCAATAGTTTATACATCTCCTAGCCAGTGCCCTGATGCATTATCATCCAAACATAAATGTTCGATAAGCAAAAACAGTCGTCTAGTCATTGATAAAACCTGTAGCAACGCCTAAAGATAATCTGAAACCCGTTGATGCTTGGGTTTAGTCCAATTGGGATTACGTTACCATGCAATTAGTATAATTATATGTAAATTCCACACCTCATACTTCAGAAGAAATGGAAATAATAGTAATAAGAGAGAGAGAGAGAGAGATTTGCTATACTCACTCAGCCGCCTGAACTCCAAACCGCTCCAAAGGAATAAGAAATGGCAGTGTGGATCCTAATAGCACTTTCCTCCTATTGGAAACACAGAATTGATTTTTCCCTGTACCTAAAGCAAATAAATGGAATAAGAAACAAACCAAACACATCGGGCAATTTCAAGGGAAGAAGGTTTTGGTTTATACATAAAGACAAATACTTTTTAGTGGGACAGTTTTCATAGTCTCAAAATTCCCGTGAATTTCTCGGGAGACACAGTCGAGACTGGAAAAAAATTAAACGACGAACAAGTATTTTAACCTGATTGATCGTCGGGGCTGGGGAGAGCACAGGCGTGAAGGAGTCTGGCGCCATATTTGACAGTTGGGGAAGATGACCTCAGAGGTTTGGCGGGAGAATCGGAATTAAAATTGATTTGGAAAGTGGGAGAGGTTCGTAAAGAGCATAGTGGTGAGGGTTTGAAAATACTCAAAGTCATCTTCAACGGACGGTCGAGAGTTGCTGCTGCTCCTCCCGCTGCGAAGAGGCTTTATAATTGGCGGGTGAACTGGAAGGTAATGATAGACGCAATCCTGTGTGGTCCGGTCCATTGAAGTTGGGAAAGGTAAGGATTTGATTGGTTGCCTTTGAGATTAGTCAACGCTAGATTTTCTGACTCTCGACTCCAATTTCTAATTAGCTGATTTTGGATTGATTAACCTCAAACTTTTCATATTATCTACGCTAACAAGTCTGGACCTAACAAAAAAAATTTCAATTTAAAAAGAAAAGTTAATTAGCGGATTAAAAATACATGAAAATTACTGTTTTAATTAAAAAATTAAATTAAATTAGATAGAATATAAATGAATTACTGCTTTAAGTGAATGTGTTTGTTTTTCGTATGTATATATCGCAGATATACAGTTCATTCCATCTTCATCATGATCAAAAAAAGCTTCTAGTTCATTCATGGGTCCAGTGTTACAAAATTTTGAGTAATCTAACAAAATATACAAAGAAACGAGATGTATAAAACATGTACATATAGCAATGAAGGAATACAGTGTAAGTAGATCCCACAACCTCCTATAAGCAACTGTTATCTGGGGCCTGAAAGCCTCACAGCTGAAAGATAAGCATCACTGTTGCAGTCCGATGGTCCCGATGACGTTCCTTCTTCACTGATCGACTTGAAGAAGCTGGAATAAAGGCGAGCACCCAGTGGAGAAGATGTCGGAGGGTCAGGGACATTGCAGAGACCTTCGAGCATTTGGACTACTTTCGTCATTGATGGACGGAGATGCATATCTTCCTGTATACACCACAATGCAACTTTTATAGCAGTATAAACTGTGTCCTCTTTTTCATCGATCCTCAGCTTTGAATCGAGCAAATCTCTCAGTTTTCCCTCTTCCAGCATCTTAAAAGCATATGATGGGAAATGAGATTTCTCCGAAGATTCACTTGGATCATAATTCTTTCTTCCACCAATGATCTCTAACAAAACCATTCCATAGCTATAGACATCGCTCTTTTCAGATATTGCATAGTTTGTGATCCATTCTGGGGCGAGGTACCCTCTTGTTCCTCTCAGGGTGGTGAAAACATGGCTTTGCTCTCGTGTCATTAGCTTGGCCAAGCCGAAATCTGAGACTTTGGCAAGGAAGTTTCCATCAAGAAGCACGTTTTCGGGTTTTATGTCACAGTGAACAATCTTTGCATCGCAGTCTTCATGGAGATAAGCTAGTCCTTTTGCTGTTCCCACTGCTATATTGTACCTTGTGTTCCAATCCAACAGGAAATCTTCTCTGTCTCTCCTGAAGATCCATTTATCCAGAGACCCATTTGCCAGGTATTCATAAGCAAGAAGCCGATGAGTTCCTTCAGCACAGAAACCCTTGAGCCTGACCAAATGGTGATGGTGGATGCTGCCGATGATGCTAACTTCAGCTCGGAATTCTTTCTTCCCCTGACCGATTCCTTCAAGCTTCTTCACTGCCAGTTGAGTTCCATCAGGAAGTGATCCACGGTAAACTGAACCAAACCCTCCTTGTCCAAGCTTCACAGTGAAGTTACTTGTTGCTGTTTGAAGATCTCTATAGCTGAAACGAACTGGCATCCCGGATAAACTTTCCAGGAAATTATCCTCTTCTGAGGTCTCGTGAGGAGATTCTGGCAATCTTTTCTTCTTCTTATAATATTGAAATGCCAGAAAAAGTAGACCCGCAATAATAATTACTGTTGAAACAGCAATAATCACAACATATGGGAAGTGTCTTTTGCTACCTCCATCTCCTCCAGCAGTTGAGCCACTGCCTCCATTCAAGACCTTGATATACGAAACAAAGCCAGCACCCTGACCAGAGCTTTGGAAGCTTCCAACCCAATCAAACAGGAAACAATTCCCAGTATTGTTCTGGAAAAACAAAGCACGGCATGAGCAGTTTCCATGGCAAGAGTCTACGCAACCATTCAAATCAGTTTTTGAAGAAGGCTGTGCAAACCCAAGTGCGAAATATCCAAGCCCATCTCCAGCATCAACAAGCTCAGCAGAGTCTTTCGAGTGATCACAGGGAGAGACAATCCCAGGTTTACAGTTAGAAAATGAGCTAAGGCTTGAAGGGCAAGTGCACTTGTTGTTACCAGAACAAACATAATACGAATCACAAGGCTGCGGTGTATCACATGGATCATCAGGAATTGTTTTCGATGATGGATCACCAGACCCTCCATTATCAAGGTTTAAGAAAGAGATAAACCCATCACTTCCTAGAACTGCAATCCAGGTAGCATTGGCATCAGTGTCTTCAGAGATTGTAAATTGCCACAGCAAGACTTTGTTCTGGTCATACAACCTCCACGAGTTTGCATTAATAGATGCTGAAGTCACACCTCCACCATTCTTGTTGATAATTTTCCGAGTCTCCTTCCCCATAGACCAATAAGGTTGAAGGGTTGGGTGACCTGCAGAAAGAACCATATCATTGGACTTGATTTCAAGAACATAGCTCAAGTTATTTGAGCCGATGTTGCTTGTGAGTTTCATTCCTTCCACGAACTCCTGGTTCGATATAAGTGTATCAGTCGGATGGCTAAAACTCTGCCACACCAGATTAATATTACTGTCATTTCCAATCAAAGCAAGATTTCCTGAATCTTGCAATTCAATGGCAGAAACTCCTTTGCCACCAGTATTCAATGTCCAAACCACATCTGAACCCTTCTGTAAAAACCCATTCCCAGTTTGATCAAACACAAAGTCATCTGAATTCGAAACGGGGGAACCTCGATTTGCAGTCCATATTACTTTTGAAGTAGGCAGATGAACAACTCCCAGTAGAAACAATGTGACATCTTGGGTTTTGATGAATCCGAAAGCAAAATTCGAGTTGTTGGATACAAGAAACAAGCCATTGTTATCTATCCAATTCATCTGAGACCCTTGATACACAGGATAAATCTGTCCAGTACTTCGAATACTAGCCGTACATGTTTCAGAAAATAGTGGAAGAAAAAGTAATATAAACCCCATGAGATGTTTGAATCTCCAAGCCCCCATGACCTAAATTCAATGAAGCTTATGAAAATCTAAACAAACCCACAAGGACAAGAAGAATTCCCAAACAAAATTCCTCTAGAAATCTAAAAAATTAAATGGTGTTTTTCAAAACACAACAAAACTGCTTTTAAAGAAAAATTTAGCGGCCATGTAAGCAGTAATCCCACTTTTTGTCCCTAAACCCACCAAATATGTGGAATAATACGAGGGTTACAGAAAAACAGGATCTACCTAATGAATGCGCGAGCTTGACAGATACAAAAGGCATCATCTTTGATGGAATGCAGAAGAAAAGAAAAAAAAAACATCCCCACAACAAATCGAATATAATGATGATCCACACTTGAAAAGTCAATGAGACGAGGAAAAACCAAGGCTGAAATTTGACATAGTTCTATGACCCAGAGAAGAAAATTCACATAAAAAATATGAAAAGAGCCCATCAAAGGACATAATCGATGATTTCCAACTAGTGGGTGCTCTACATTTACCCAGGAAATCGGAAGAACGGAAAGACCCAACTAGAAACCAAGACTAGAAAATGAAGAAGCGACTGAATTGTCAACGAAAATTGATGAGCAAGCTTCATTTCGCCATTATAGTGAGAAAAAAAGTTGCAGAGACACCGATAATCTTGAGAAGTTCACATCGGATTAGAAAAAAAAAAAGGCAGTTGAAGAAGATAGGATGTGAAAGAAAAAACTAAGCTAGCACCTCACCTCAACTCAACTCGGTAAGTTTGCAGAAAAAACAAGAGGCAAATAGAGAAGATGATTCATCTGGCTGTTTCCTATTTTCTGTTTTCTGCTTCCATCACGAGTGTGGACTGGAAAGAGAGAGAGAGAGAGAGAGAGAGAGAGGAAGATGTGAGTTGGGTTTGTATCGTTCAAAAGTCTCCCCCTACTCTCTCTGCTCTCTGTTGAATTTCAAATATGAATCAGCAACCGTCAAAATACGAATTCCATCTTTAGTTGACAGATCCAAACACCCACTGGTTTTCTACTTTTCTCTCAGTAAATTATGTTATTTTTTTATTAATTAAATTAAATGTAATTAATTTGTTTGGTAATGGACGAGAAAATTAATGAATTTTATGGTAATTTAATGGGAAGTTGGACGGAAGTGAGATATGAGTCAAGGTTCCCCTGCAACTAAGTCATACCCGCCGTGTCGGGGTTGCCAACTTGAAATCGATGGGTCCCACTTTCTATGTTAATGAAATTCCCATAATACCCTTCCATAGTTGGCATTTTTACCTTAACTACCACGTCAGCAAACTTACGTCAACAGATTAATACTGCTGGCGTCTTATCTCGTCATGAATGAACGGGAACGAACCAACCATGTCCATGTCCATTATTATTTGATTTGACAATTAATAATATTATATAATATTACATATTTATATATATATATATATATATGTTCAACGTGGTTGTGTTAAATTTTATAATTAATTATTTTTTATGTTGGAAAAATACACTGAATTGTAATCTTAAGTTCAATTAATTTTTCATTTCTTTTAATTTTGGGAAATATATATTTTTTATTTTGTTATTTAAAATAGTACTAATGTCTGTAAATTAAATTTTAACTTAAATGCACACCTGTGAATTAAAAAATAATAAATTTAATCTGCATTTTCATTCTAGTGAATTTTACACCAGATGAGATGTGTATAATTGATAATTAGATCTTTTTTACCACTTTTTAATTGATTTATTTAAATTCATTATAACTCACTTTTTATTAATTTATACAAGGTTAGGATTCATTATTAAGTTAGTTAAGTAAACTTTGTTAACTTAACTTAGTATTATTATTAGGTGTGCGGGTATAAAATTAAATATAATTCAAATGATAGTATTAAATAGTACAATATTCGTCTAGCGATAAAATATTATACTCAATAAAAAAAAATATTGATTTCTTTAAAACTTTTTCTCCGATTGCTCATAGTGTTGTCGTAAAAGTTTTATTATCGTTAATAATATTTAAAAATTAGCATCTCGGTTAATTAAATGTTAATAATATTTTATCAAATGATTTATTTTAATAGATTTCTAGTTATCATAAAGTGGAGGAGTTGGTTTTTGGTATCTGTTGGTATGTAAACTAAGTAATTCATTTATGGATTAAGGTAGGTGTCTTTGTCACGGAAACTTTAAATTTTTTCAAACACTTAGTTTTGGTTTTATTAGATCTAAAAGTTAATTATTCCTTATTTGCTAAAGGATCTAAATGTTGTTTTGCAATGCTTTTGGTATATATTAATAATATTGTCATTATCCGACGATTAATTGATCAAATCAAAATAGTAAAATCTTTTGTTTTTTTTATTTTCAAATTGAAAGTTCGTGATAAAATAAAATATCTTTTAAGCTAGGGGATTATTCATTTCTCTAAAAGTATTAGTCTTTTTTTTTTAAATAGACTACATTTTATAATTGCTTGAATAGACTGGTTAGTTTTAATGCCTATAAATCTTAAAATAACTTTATCTTTAGAGTAATATGAGTTATTGCCAAATGTTTCTCTTTATTAGAGATTACTCAGTCAATTTTTTTTATATAATTATCTGTTGGAAAAAAATAATCTTTAAAACATGCACAATCACACTAAAGTAAAAGCAGAAAGAAAAGAATACAAAAATTTTACGTGATTTGACATTGTACCCACGAGCAAGATCGACAATAAAGAATTTCACTATGTAATATAATAGTACATCACTAATAGGTTAGCAAATCTATTTATAGAAAAACTAAGAAAATTTTTCACAAATAAAAATTCTATAATATATACATGAAATATTTTTTAAGATAGATACAAAGAAAATCCAAATAAATTATCCTCAAAATATAGATAAATATCGTCAAAAATCAAGACACATCAATAAATCTTCCCCTTGACTTGAATTTCCTATATCATCAAAGCAACCAACCATCTTGTTGCACCGTTTTGCCAACATGCCCCCACTGGTGCGACATTGAGTATCACATACTCCAGCCAAGTTTAAGTCACACCTGAACTTGCTATCTGATCCCTGAACAAAGTAACATCTGCCATCAAGTTCTTCACACACAACACTAATCATCTAATCAGCATTTGAACTCCCTGGTTCCTGCGAATCAACTGGTCCTACAACTGACAAGTTATATGCAACCAGATTCTCATAACTCTGTGGTCGTCTAATCTATCTTCTCTTCCTATATGTTGCAATACTATATAGTTGTTATTGATCAGGTGCACTATCACCTTCTTGATTAAGATCATGCACTTCATTCCTTAGACTATTGGACTGAACTTTTAACTCTGCTTGTTCTCTGACACTGTGATCTGATTCTACTATTGTCTTCCCTTTCTGACTGTCTAGTGAATCAGACTCATTGAATGTCACATCTTTGTTAATAATCAACTCTAAAGACTTGGGATAACTACACCACAACCTGTAGTCTTTTACTCCAAATGCATACCCCAGAAATATGCACTTCTTTGCCTTCGGCTCAAGCTTACCATCCCTAACATAAGCATAAGTAGGACAACCAAACACTCTAAACTAAAAGTAATCATCATGTGACCCAGACCATATCTTAAAAGGAGTATTACTCTCAATAGTTGTGGATGAAGATCTATTAACTAAGAAACTAGCAGTATTTACAATTTCAGCTCAAAATTTCTGTCTCACATCTGAATGAGACAACATGTTTTGTGCCTTATCACAAAACATCCTATTCATGCGTTCTGCAATACCATTATGTATGGTGTCCCAACACAAGTGCGGTGTCTTACTCTACCTTCTGTACTGCAGAAATAATCAAACTCACGATTACAAAATTCCAATCCATTGTTAATCTTAATACACTTAATCTCCCTCTCTATCTGCTTTTCAATCATGGTCTTCTATTTAACAAATATTGAAAATGCCTATTCTTTAGATATCAAAAAATGCACTCATAACTTCCTAGAGTAATCATCAATCAATGTTATAAAATACCTTATACTACTATTGGAGGAAACTCTATATGGACCCCATAAGTCAGAATGAACATAATCCAACTTACCTCTAGCCTTGTGCACTGTCTTTTTGTTGAATTTCACTCTGGTCTGCTTGCTAAATACACAGTATTCATAGAAATCTAAAGCTCCTTCTTTAGACCCATTCAACAAACTCTATTTGCTCAAAACAGATTACCCCTTTTCACTCATCTGACCCAAATATAAATGTCACAACTAATTCTGATTACTGCTCGTTGATGCTACAATAACTTCCCCTGAAACTATGTTTTCCTAAAAAATATATAATTTAGATTCTGAACTGTCTTTCATGAGTACCTCGGAGCCTTTGCACACTTTAAGAGTACCATTCTTTGCATGATATTTGTAATCTTGAGTCGCCAATATAGAGAGAGAAATCAGATTCTTCTTTATCTAATGAATTTGCCAACACTCAATTGTTCTGATGATACTATTAAACATTCTTAATCTGATATTACCAATCCCAGTTACAGATAACTAACTATTATTTTTCATATACATGATACCACTCATCTGCTTGTAAGTAGCAAACCAATGCTTATGTGGATACAATTGTGGAATATAGCACCTGAATCAAGAATCCAGAAGTTCTTTCTATGATCTAAATTCACATATAGAACTATCCAAATATTGTTGCTAGCACTATCATCAGAATTATCTTTGTCGACTATATTAGTAGAACTCTCCTGTTCTCTTCCTCTCTTCAGTGTATGACAATCTCTCATAAAGTAACCCTTCTCTCCACATTCAAATTAATTTTTATTTTTACCTCTAGATTTTGATTTGCCCCTTCTCTATGTCCTTCCCCTACTTACCAAACTTTTCCCTTCTATTCTATACTCAGTAAAGTTCTTTTATAACTTTTTCGATTTTAGTGCGTTGCTAACATTATCTAGTAAAATACTAGTTTTCCTATATAGTAGAGTATCAACAAAAGTCTCATAATAAGATGGTAATGAACATAGAACAAACAATATTTAATCCTCATTTTTAATCTTAATATTTATGTTATTCAGTTCCATAATTAACGAATTAAACTCGTCAAGGTGTTGTTTAATGGGCGTACCTTCACTCACTCTGAAATTGTAAAACATTTTCTTCAGATAAAAACGGTTCGTCAGCAATTTTATAGAGTATGATTCTTTCAGTTTCTTTTACGCAGCTGAAGCTAAAATTTTTTTAGCAATCTCTCACAAAACATTGTCATTGACACTATAAAAATCGCACATAAGGCTTTATTCTACATGCTCAGCTTTTTCGACTCTCTCATACCCTTAAGATATCTTTCTTCAATTGCCCCCCATAAACCTTGTAATACCAGGGACGATCTCATTCTAATCTTTCACAAACTAAAACTCGTACAACCATCAAACTTTTCTATTTTATACTTTGTAGATGTCATCTCGAATTCCTATACTGTGCACCAAAAACTAAATAGAGAAAAAAAAAACACTGTCAGAAAGAAAAAAACACTTACAGGAAGTCACCACTGCACAGAAAACTACCGAACGCAACCACTGGAACACAGTACGTGCCGCCACGTGCTGTCACACGCACGACCACCAGAGATGTCATGCGCCGCCATCAGCCGCTGCTCATTGCTACCAAAAAACCAAAAAAAAATACATAAAACTATGCAACTTGTCGAATCCGATACGGATATGGTGAAAACACGCTGAAAACACCCCGAGAATGCCACAAATTGGGCTTTACGTGAACCAAGTGCCACCACACTGGTTCATCTTCTCTGGCATGCGTTCTCCCTCTTCAGCTCTAGTTTTGTGCATAGATGGGGTCGGACGTCGTGGATCCGCCTTCGATTTCTCTTATCCGACCCTCCTCTTTGAGCAAATTGATTTTCTTTGTGTGAGCCACCGCACATCTGAGCTTCTCCATTTTAGATTTGATTTCACTGGTCGCCACTCACACAA